GCATTGGTCCCAGTGACAGATATGAAGGCGGACTATCTCATGAGCGAAATGGATGTGGCCTACAGGTCCTATTCCATATACATAAAGAAGAAGAATCTGCCTGGGGAAATAGTAATGAGATTCTCGAAGAGGCACGTGAGGGATTGTATCCTGAGACCGACAGCGGGGACACCCTTGAAAATTGGGGACAGTACTATCAGGATTCTGAAAGATATCCCATTTGAAATAAGACAAAGGAGAAAGAAATATAAAGATTTAATTCCTTTTCTTCAAACAAATGCAATTAGCTACCGGTGGTTATATCCAGAGGGCGTAACCTTCAAACTTCAGGACAAAAAAGAAAAGATTGACTCTGTTTCCAAAGCACGGGACTTTCTGAGAATCCAGTTGGGTGAGCCAGAGGAGGTGGATAAAGAGGAAAAGGACAGTAAGTCCAGTGGCGAGCTGGACTTGGGGTCTTCTGGAGAGGACTGAGAAAGGGGCAGCGGCTCCTAAAAGTCCTTATAAACTGCGGAAAAGACAGGATAAGAAAAAATGAAGGCTGAAGGACTCTAAATTGTGCCTTTGAAAATACTGTTGTTAATATTGAGATGCTTAGGGGTCTTTTTCCAACAGCTAAATTTAAGATTTAAAAGTTATATTAGCATATCTGACTAAGTTCATAAAATTGTTAGCGTTTTAAAGGATGGCATTGTACAAGCTAATTTGATGATCTCCTCTCTTGGGTTTTTAGTCAGTAGTGGTTATCTTTTCTTTCTCCTTAATTGTAGTTCCCCTCCCCTATTTTCATTGTAGTTTGTAGTATATAATTGGTGGGGGGGAAACATGGTATGTAAGACTCCAAAAAAATGACAATGATTACATAAAAGTGCTTACTGGCTATTTAACAAAACTGAATAAAGTATTAAAAAAAGACGTCTGTTTAAAGAAGAATCAAAAGCAAACTAGGAGGACTTGTGAATGCAGTGCTCCCCTTCAGTTCAGTGCCAGGAGTCACAAAAATGGGTGCAGGGGGCACTTCTGGAGAGTTTGAAGCCTTGTGAGGGGGGCACCTCTCATCTTCCAAACTGGGAGGGAGGGAGGGAGGAATTTGAGGAAAACTGATGTATATGTAACATGTAACACTGTCCTATCAAACCTAATTCTGTTTTGCTACTTGAACAACACAGAATGCATCATTTATAATTGGTACACTATTTACTCAAATTCAAGATTATGTTTTGTTTAGTTTTCCAGGTATGCTATCAAAAAAGAGGGGTCATCTTAAATTTGCATACAAATTGTAGTTGTACCAAGTAGTAATTTTTGTTGTGTATAACTTTTTTGACAGGGGTACTCTCATTTAACCAACTTTTAACCCATAAGAGAACCCATCCCCTTATCTCATGACTGCTAAGTTTACTCAGGAACCTTTGGTGAGGTAGCTTGTTGAAAGCCTTCTGAAAGTTCAAGTATACAGTGTCTACCTGGACTCTGTTGTCTACACGCTTGTTCACTTTCTCAAAGAACTCCAAAAGGTTGGTGAGGCAGGACTTCCCTTTGCAGAAGTCTTGCTGAGTTTCTCTCAGCAGGCTTTGTTCCTCTGTGTCCCTAATAATTCTATCTTTGATTACAGTTTCTACTAATTGGCCTGAGACAGATGTTACGCTGACTGGCCTGTAGGTCCCTGGTTTGCCTCTGGATCCTATTTTAAAATTAGTATAACATTCCTAGTCTTCTGGTACATTATGATAGAGTACATTTATTTATTTATGTATTTATATTATTTTGATTTATATCCTGCCCTTCCCGCAAACAGGCTCAGGGCAGCTCACAACAATAAATGCAATACAATCTTAAAATAGGTCAAAAATGATAAATAACAATATTAAAACATTTAAAGTGGGCAGTGCAGTATATTAGTTTTAGTTCCTACAGCCGGAATGGATGGGCCGGCACCAAGCCATAATGATCTCGTGCAGCAGCAATAGGGAGGCCAGCTAGTAGATGCCCGCTGCCTCAGCCAAAGGGCCTGGCGAAAGAGCTCCATCTTGCAGGCCCTGTGAAACTGTAACAGGTCTCACAGGGCCCTGATCTTAATCGGAAGCATGTTCCAGCAGGCTGGGGCCAGGGCCGAAAAAGCTCTGAGGCGAGGGGGGCATCTTTTGGGCCGGGGACAACCAGCAGATGACTATCCACAGAGCATGAGGCTCTTTGGGGCCCATATGGGGAGAGGCAGTCCCATAGATATGCTGGTCCCGTAAATATGCCGGTCTACTGGTTAGTAGATCAACTATCTTACATTTGAGTTTCCTAAGAACTTTCGGGTGTATGCCATCAAGACCTGGAGACTCACCGGTTTTCAATTTCCCCAATAGGTCTAGAACTTCATCTCTAGTTACCTGAATTTCACTCAGTTCTTTAGACTCCCTTCCTGAAAATAGGGGCTGTAGTACATGCCCCATGCTTTCCACAGTGAACACAGAAGGAAAAAAGTCATTGAGCTTCTCTGTCATCTCCCCACTATCCTTTAGCAATCCCTTGATTCGTTTGTTATCCAAAGGCCCAACCACTTCTCTGGCTGTTTTCCTGCTCTGGATATATTTTTTTAAAAATGTCTTGATGCTTTTAGCAACCCACTCCTCAAAATCTCTTTTTGCATGCCTAATTAGTGACTGACATTTCTTTGCTAGAGCCTGTGGTCCCTCCTGGTCATTTCATTGGGGCAGACCTTCCACTTTTTAAAAGACGCCTCTTTACTTTTTATAGCTTCCCTAACTTGCATTGCTAACCACTCAGGCCTTCTTTTAGACTTGGCAGTACCTTTACTAACCTGTGGAATGCATTCTATCTGGGCTTCGATTAGTGTGGTTGTAAATAGCTTCCACAGAAAAACTATACAAGAAGGACCTCGATGTCCTTGACAACCGTGATGGTGTGATCACTGACCTCGAGCCAGACTTGGAATGCGAAGTCAAATGGGCCTTAAAAAGCATTACTAACAAC